CGAGGAGGCGCGCCTCTGCGAGCGAGCGACGCGCCTTGAGCCTCGCGGGCCGCCGTCCCGGAAGTGGAAGGTCCGTCGAGATTCGGGTGCGGGTTCCTGGACTTTCCGAGGTGTGTATTGACTTCCTGGAGGGACCGGCGGACTTGAGTCACCGCAGTGGAAAGAGCGAGCGTCTCCCGTGAGCTCTTGCGGCGCGCAGTGAACGCCGACGTTCCCTGGCGGAGTCCATCCCAAGGCCGGTCTGCTCTGGCAGGATGGCGGCTTTAGTTTCTGTGATGGTCTGATACTGCGGCTGCTTACCATGGCCCTGCGAGCAGTGTGGCTCATCCGTCACGAGCCGGAAACTCCGCCCGGTGGCACCGTCAGGTTCTCCAGGTAATTGCGAGTCTGCGTCGTCAGGCGTAGTGACGCCCAGAACGGGTCGCGTGCACTTGATCGTTCCTGTGTTCACTGAATTCCAAATCTGTCCGGAACAGCTCTCTGAGCGCCGCTGACCGGGTGAACCTTTGTATGCTGTACCTTCTGACATTGTTGTAAGAAATGAGTTGCTTGACACGTTGCTATCTTTGTTGTTGTTGTTGTTGTTGTTGTGAGGCAAAAATACCCCTAGCAATCCTGGAACTCGCTATGTAGACCAGACTGTCCTCGAATTTACAGACATCTCTCTGTCTCTGCCTCTGGAGTGCTGGGATTAAAGGTGTGGACCACCATACCCGGCTGTATTATTGTATCTTAAAATGAATTCCATCTGTTTAAGATTGGTACAGATATAATGAAATTTAAAAAAAAACTTACTGAGCACTAAGCATGTTTCAGGTTTTTCAACTTTCAGTGGCAAAATTATTTTAGAGTATACATTCTTCCAAAAACTCCTTGTGGAGCAATAGACTGTTGTTTTCATCTTATCAGTGTACGTGATTGCTAGAAGTCATTATTGTTTGCAGTTTTTAGTGGTTGAACAACATAGAAGGAACAATAGAAACTTAAATTACGATAATTTTTTCCTAGGTGACATAAATGATTTGATCCCATTTTTAGATTTTGCCATTTCTTACCAAAATAATTCTACGACGAGGACTATACAGTAGTTTAAAATACGGAAAGCGATCGTGTACTCTTCTAAAAAAAATTTTTTAAGCTATTTTTGTTTCTTTTCAGAACTTATTATTGAGTTCATTTCTCCGTTTATTGATTGGAAGTTTGGGGAAGTGTATGTGTGTGTGTGTGTGTGTGTGTGTGGTTTCTGCACTTCTTTATACAAGATATTAACTGCTTTATAAAGTATTGCTGGCCAAGTTTTTTCCCCAATCTGTAGGCTGTCTCTCTCTCCACTTTGCTTGTAATTTTATTTGTTTTACAGAAACTTTTTAATTTCATGTCACTCTTGAGGTTGTTTCCTGTTCTTGGCAGTATTTCTGAGAAGCCTCTGACTTACTGAGTAGCTTTGCTTTCTTGGAAAGCAGCACCTACACTCGAACTTCCTGCATGACAGAAAGGGAATGGGTTCTAAGTCTATGCTAATGTTACAAACCAGTAACAGTAAGCACATGTGGGTAGTGTGACTGAGGAACTCATGATTAGGTCTTTGTTGTTATTTTGAGACCGGCACTGCGTAGCACTGGCTGACCTAGAACTCAATACATAGACCAGACTAGCTGCAGAAAAGGAAACCCAAAAGATGAGCAAATATTGTTAGAGAAAGATATACAAATAGAAATTAGATTACCTTTGTTGGTAAAAATTAGGGGAAGAGTCATAAAAGTACAGAAATTCACTAATTTCTAATGAATGTGTTAGCATTTGGGAAGCTGCTTGTATTTTGTCTCTTGGGTTTCCTCTTCTGTGAATTAACTTTACTTTCCAAAGATACCAATTTATTCATTCTGTATAGTTTTGTCTGTTACATTTAAGCCTTTAGTCTGTTTGAAGTTCAGCTTTGCATATGGTGGTAAATGGGAAGTTCACCTTTTCTTTATGCTATTTGACAGTTTTCCTGACATCATCAGGTAAGCCACTTGGCTCACTATTGATGTTTGCTATATTCCTTTATATAAACATTGATCTATCTCTGTTCTATTACTTTGTCTTTTTTGTGCCAATGTTCTGATTTTGTGCATTGTAATTGAAATGAGACTTTAGGTAATTGAAAAAGTAAGCCCATTTGAAGAATTCATGCAGAGCTGAAGAGATGCTTGGTAATTAAGAACATTTACTTGCTCTTTCAGAGGACCAGAGTTTATTTCCCAGAACCCACGTAGTGCAGCTCACCAGCCACCACTAACTCTAGCCCCAAATGGATCCAGCATCTTCTGGACTCCAAAGCCATCTGCACTCAAATGCACATACCCACCCCCACCACTCCACATATATAGGCTTGTTGGTTGGGGTTTCCATCCTGCCCAGTTCCCACAGCCAGTAAGCCCCCAAAGAAAATCACACAGAGTCTGAATTAATTATAAACTGATTTTCCCATTAACTCAGGCTTCTTATTAGCTCTCATAGCTTATATTAAGCCATTATTCTTATCTATGTTGGCCACATGGCTCAGTACCTTTTTCAGCAGGGCAGGTCCACATCCTGCTTCTTTGGTGGTCTGGGCAGAAATGGGGGAAGAGCTTCCTTCTTCCCAGAATACTCCTGTTCTCATTGCCCCACCTCTACTTCCTCTCTGGTTGACCCGCCTATACTTCCTGCTTGGCCAATTAGCATTTATTTAAAACAGAATTGACAGACAATTCTCCCACACCACACACACACACACACACACACACACACACACACACGTATATACACAGAATTGGGAAATGAGAGTAAAATTGGTTTTGGGATTGCTTTCCCAGTTGTGCATATTACGTACTTTAGACGACACATTCAGACACGTTTAAGTAAGTTTCACTACATCTCTATGGAGTTAGCAAGTTGGGGGGGGGGTCACGTGATGGATTCATCTATGTGTTGCTTTAATTCTGTATTATTGAATGAATTGCAAGTTTTGTAAAGTTCTGCATTTTCAGATTTCTGACCACTTGAAGCTGATGTTAAGGCCAGTAGATATGAATTAACATATGTTCCTTAGCCTGTCCTGGGAAGAGATATAAAGAAATGTATGTAGTAATATTTTGGAATCTACTACATAAAGCTTGCCTGAAGATTGCAGTGCAGAGCAAGCCACTAGTTAGCCATAGAGGCCAGGCAGTGGTGGCACACACCTTTAATCCCAGCGCTTAGGAGACAGAGGCAGACGGATCTCTGTGAGTTCAAGGCCACCCTGGGTTATATGAAATTGATTCAGTTTAAAAGAGAAGCAGAGCCAGGTGGTGGCAGCTCACATCTTTAATCCCAGTACTTGCAAGTCACATACCTTTAATCCCAGCACTAGGGAGGTGGAGACAGGGATGTAAGGTGGAAGGAGACAAGAGCTTAGATGCAGTCTAAGGATTCAGTCTGAGCATGCAGTCTGAGGATCATAGAGATGGATGCAGTCTGAGGTTTCATAGAGACAGCAGCAGTCTGAGGATTCTTATAGACTGGATCACCCTTTGGTCCAAACATTGGTAGAAGTAAGAATTCTCTAGTGGTTGACTGCTTTGCTTCTCTGATCCTTCGGCTTTTACCCTGATAGCTGACTCGACCAATTAGAATTCTTCTTATAAATGTGTAATAACCCTAGACTTAAAAGACAGTAACAGACCAAAGGAATCTATTCAAGTTGAGCTTGACAAACCAGTGTGTTTGTTGGGATTACTTAAGGGAGCATAGGTGACTCACAAGAAGACACACAGCCACAGTCCCCCAAGTCAGTTGTTTACCTGTTGTGCGGTAGTGTTGGTGTCTTGGGGAGAGGAGGCCTTGAGAGGTTCCTGTCAGTCCTGACTGGGTCATCATAGCTACTCTGTCTCCGCCCAGAGGAAAGAGTCACAGCACTGCATATTCTCCACATACACACCAAAGAGTAATGGCTATAACTTATGATAAAAGAGGGCGAACGATCTTCGTATAACAGTCTGGATGCACCTCAGATTGGTATTACACCCATAGCTATAGGGACACTTAATCCTGTCTTGAAACTGATGTTTTTCTGTCGACTCAATGACTGCACATGAATCTACTGATATTTTAATTATCATCTGCTATCCCACAGCCCCTCAGTCAATGCCCTGCCGGCCACTCGGGCCATGGCCTGGCCAGGATTCTGATCCTTCAGCCCCAGCTCTGCCATGACTGCAATATATAGGTTTAAATTAAGTCTCTATCGTTCAATTTACCAATAAGACTCAGGAGTCAAAGGCTGGGATGAAAACCTGCTAGCCCAGAGAGGCTGAGTGGCAATTAGAGACACTGCAAGAGGCTCTTCCCTGGTCCCAGAACCGAGAAAGCTCCTGCCCTTTCCTTCCTGTGTGCCTTCTCTGTCGAAATTGCTGGCTTCTCTATGACCAGTTCTGGTCAGCTAGTCACTGGATCCACCCCTGGTTCAAAGTAGAACTTTATTGGGCAGTCTTGGGAGTGTCAAGAGTGTGAGCAAAAGATCCCACAACATGAAACAAAACCTCGATTAGTTTGAAATAACAGATTAAATCAGCTAACAAAATTTTAAACACATATTAAGACATTGTGTAAGGTCCTAGATTAGTTTATTTTCTTTATAATCAACTGTGAGAGTAAGACAAGTCACTAATGGTATATTAGCTAATTTTTCCCCTTTTCAATCAGAAAAATGCTTAAGAATCTAAGTGAAGGTCCACTAATTAGTAGATTATTTCAATGCATTATTTTTATTTATTATCAAACATTAGTATCTTATTAGAGGAAAATATTGTTATGAAAATTATAAAAAGAAATCTTAGTAGTAGCTATCCATTTGCTAGGTTTTAGTTTGTTTTTGGTGCTGGAGATTGAACCTAGTGTTCCATGCATGCTAAATAAATTCTCTTCCACTGACATATACCTCTTGACCTCTCATGTATTTTATAAATAGGAAAATGGCCTTAGGAGAGTATATTAGTCAGGGTTCTTTAGAGGAACAGAACAGATAGAATGAACATTTTGTGTGTGTAGTGTGTGTGTGTGTGTGTGTGTGTGTGTGTGTTTACTGAAGTGGGTAACAGCCTTTGGTTACCCACTAGTTGTCCAATAATGGCTGTCTACCAATGCAAAGTCAAAGAGTCCAGTGGTTGTTCAGTCTGTGAAGCTGGATGTCTCAGCTGACCTTCTGTGTACACTGGAGTCCCCAAGAAGTCCCCAGTGCAGAGAAGGAATTGACTTGTCAGCAAGATTGAAGGGAAGCAGGCAAAGAAAGTAGGCTCCCTTCTTCCATGACCTTTATATAGGCTGCCAGACAAAGGTGTGGCCCAGATTAGAGGTGGAGTTTCCCACTTTAAAAGATTTAATTTAGAAAAAAAAAAAAAAACCCTCAGAGGTGTGCCCAGCCACATGGGTTTTAGTTAATTCCAGATATGGTCAATTCGACAACCAAGAAGCGCCATCACAGAGGGCTTGCTTATTTACTCAAAAAATGAGTTGTCGATAACTTTATTCTGGACCTTGAAGTAGAAGGAAAAGGAATAAAGAAAAGTATATTTTTTGAAAGTGAAAACCAGTGTTTAGGATCTAGTGACTCAGTCCTTAGCCCTGGAGAGAGGTGTGGCCGTGATTAGTGGAGTCTCACAGAAGACTGAAGGGGCCTGCACGTCTTCTGGTTTGCAATGGGGCAGAGAGGTTAGTAAGTTAACTGTCTACCCAGTGTGCATAGACTGTAAAGGATTAATTTGATTTCTCTCTTTTTTATTATCTCTAAATATCTTTCAGTACTATAGAGATAAGCCAGTATTACAAAATGATCTCCCCTATTTTACAAGGGTTGTTAAGAACATTCAGGGCATCTGTTATTCATTATGTAGATTAGTATAATCTCAATAAATGAATCTAAAAATTTAGAGGCGTAAATATAATCACTTTGTGATTAATCTAAGGTAGAATTAAAAAAGCAAAACCCCTTATTATAGATATTTGAGAGAAAAGAATTTATTTTGACTCAAAGTTTAAGGGTACAGTCCATCAGGTTGGAGACGTGGTCCAGGAGCATGAGGCAGCTGGTCACACAGCATGCACATCAGGATGCAGAGAGCAGCTAATACTGCCCCCACTCTTTCTCCATCTCATTCAGCTCAGGACCCAGCCCATGGTGCGAGGTCACCTGTGCTCAGGGTGGGACTTCCAACCCCAGCCTAATCTAGAACCTTGTCCCACAGACATACCCAAAGATCTGTTTCCGTATGGGAAATTGTTTTTCTGTTGGTTTAGCGACTGCACCTGAATCTTCTGCTATTTTAACTACTGCTGCACCCACCACTCCGCAGTCAACATCCTTCCCCTCAGACTGCGGCCTGGCAAGGTTTCCGGTCCTGTGGTCACCATCTTGGCCGCAGAGGGCAAGTGTAGATTTTAACTAAGACTTTATTATTCTGTATACCAGTGAAACCTTGAGAGTCAGATGTTGGTGTGAAAACTTGCTAGATCAGAGAAGCCAAAGAGCAACCAGCTGAGCTTCACTTTCGACTAGAGACCCAGCAAGAGAAGTATCTTTCCGCTCATCTCAAGCCAAAGATCAAAACTCTCTAAGTCCCTACCCACTCCTTTCTGTGCATCTCTCTGTCCGTTTTCCTGGGTCCTCTGTGCTCTCTATAGCTAATTCTTGTCAACTAGTCGCTGGTTCCACCCCGATCCAAAGTTGATTTTATTAACAGTGTCAGAGTTTCACAGTGTGATTGAATATCCCGCAACACTACATCCCATCAAGTTGACAGTCAGATTAACCATAACATCTTCCAAGAGGGAATCTGAGTGGCTTTAAAACAAAGGTTTTGAATTAGAAACATGTACTCTACCTGTTTAAAAAACTAATTAAATTGAGTCACTTTCCACAGTAAATAGTACATTTTATCACTTGAGATAACATCCTAAATAGGAAACATTTGTTCCAGTCAGACATTAGCAGGTTTAATGGCTTAGGGTTTTTTCCTTTGGTAGTGCATGTTATTTATTCATTGGTTTATGTTTTATAGCTATGACTGTTTGCCTTCTGTCTTAAAGCCTTTTAATTCTTCCATTGATGTACGTGGAAGGATCGTTTGTAATGTTTCTGTTTCCCTGATACAGACGATACCCTACTGTTGAAAAGCGAGCCAAGATCTTCAATGGAGTGAGTTATGTTCCTGTACCCGAAGATGGTCCCTTCCTGAAGGCATTACTCTTCCACCTGAGATTATCGGGTGATGATAAAGACTTCGTGGAGAGGCGCGATAGCTGCTCACACACCAGCAAATCACCCATCTATGGACTTTCAGTAGGCGGTGAAGAACTCTGGCCAGTCATTGCTTTTCTGAGGAACGATATGATTTATGCAAGTGTTCCACTGGTTGAACAAGCTCTGTCTCCTCGTCCATCTGTAGTTAGTGTTAGTGGAGTCTCACAAGGCTTGGAACTGCTTTTCGGGATACAGGATTTTCTTTACTCCTCAAGTCAGAAAAGTGACACAGACCTAAACACAAAGTTGAGCCAGTTGCCTGACCTGCTTCTGCAGGCTTGTCCTTTGGGTACTCTGTTGGACACTAACTTGCAGAATTCACTGAGTAGTACTAATTTCTCATCTGTGACTCAGCCGCACAAACAGCCAGCATGGAAAGTTGGAGCATACAAAGGAAAGCCTCAGATTTCTATTTCTATCACTGAAAAAGTGAAGTGCATGCAGTATGGTAAACAGGATGCAGCAGACACATGGCAAGTTGTTGGGACAGTCGCTTGCAAGGTGAGCTTTTCTCCAGGATTTGCTTTGTCACACCATTTAACACTGGAGAACAGAAGATGTTGCAGCTTGTCTTTTACAGTTTTAAAAGTTGTGATTGTTATCCTTAGCAGCAGCTAAGGATAAATTTTATCTTTCTGTATTTTTTGCAAATTATTCACTTAATGACTGTTATGCAATGAATTATCTCATTGCTCTAAAATGGACATTATCTTAATAGTTTCTGTGGGTCACAACTTTAGGAGCAGCTTCGCTGGGAATCTTCAGTAGAGAATCTCATGAGCCTCTAGTCAGGGTATTGGTTGGAGCTCTTATCATCTGAAGATCTGTCTGGGGCTTGAATATCTGCTTGCAACATGACTCACACAACTGTCAAGTCAGTGTGGGCTGATGGGAGGAGGCCTGGTCCCCACTTCACATGTCTCCACTGGCTTGTCCTCACCACTTGGTGGCTGTCCTCTTTCAGATCAGATAGTGTGTGCTTGTGTATGTGTGAAAGAGAAGAAGATTCAAGCTATGGTTCTCACGACTTACTCTGAAAAGCCACAGCATCATTTCTATTATGTTCTGTTTGTTAGATGCAAAGCCAATCACTAAGTCTGGTTACATGAGGACACACAGAATCAAATCCACCTCTGGAAAAGAGGTGTTTGGGACACCTTGTGAATATCCTGTAGCGCCATCTCACTTCCGTTTCTCTAGGAAAGAATTGACAAGTCCTCTGACTTCACATCAAATAACAAGAGGGTGCTTATTTTATTTAAATAGCTCAATGATAGAATTATCTGTCTTAAAGTTAGAAAATGGGGAAAGTGGAAACATCAGTACAGATAGCAATGATTAACATCAGGTTGAATAATAATCAACAAAGTCCTCCAATTAAACACTACATTTATGTATTAATAGTATGCTCAAATATCTTTTTTGGTCCTTTATTTTATATATTTTGTAAATTTACCATTTAGTTACTGTATGTAAATCCTATGGATAAAATCTATTTTAAGAACAGAATTAGATAACGACGTTGACTCTTTTATAATTAAAGTAACCTAAAAGTTTTGTCTATGCTAAAAGTTTCTGTTCTGCTCAAAATTGCATTCAAGTTGTTCATCCTATTAGGAAGAGCTATTTTGAGAAGCTTGAAAACCATGGGCTGTGTCATTCATCACTCTTAAGGTGCTGAGTCTTTTCCTCGTGAGTTCAGTGCAATAAAAATTAGAAAAGGCTGCTGTTCTTCCTCCTGGATGTTACACATATTGTGATTAACATGATGTATACATTTCTCTGCTCATTGATAAGCTGACCCTAGTTTCTTGTTTGTGGGAAGTGTGAGTTACTGTCTTCACCCTGGTTCAAATGACCATAATGAAAATGGTTTTTAAATAAAGGAGGGGCTGGTGAGATGGCTCAGCCGGTAAAGGTACTTTTCTCCAAGCCTAACAATCTGAGTTCCATTGCCAACTCTCATGTGGTGAGAGAACTGACTCTCACAAGTTTTCCCCTAACCTCCACACATGTTCTGTAGCATACATACTTATACACATATGTATACACACATACATGCTCATATACACTAAAATCAATCAATGCAATTTTCTAAAAAGTGCTTTAGAGTGGGGAGGGATAATGGCGCATACCTCAGCCTAATAGTAAATGTTTCTCTGAGGCTGTCCATTACCTCTAAATGACCGGTGTCTTTACAAAGTCGCCTAACTTTGTAAATCTTTTATTATTTTAAAATAAGATAGCCTTCTATGTGTCTTCTTTTATAGTTCCTAGTTCTCAGGTCCAGATTCATATATGCAAAAGGATTTTAAAAGGGTGTATAGAGATTCCTTCTGGAATAGCGGTTCTCATCCTGTACTTACAGTATTTTAAGTGACTAGACAGCGGGAGTTGTGCCGGTTTCTGTAAAGGTGCAGTTTCTTCGATCTCATTGTGAATGATACACTGCTAGGAAAAAATTTAATGAACGTAAATGATGCTTTAGGTTTTAATACTCTTTACTCTTAAATATCTGGGTGTCTATTATCTCAATAAATAACAAATCAAGACTTTTATTCTTGCTAATTTACAAATGTTATATAACACCTATTTTTTTAATTCAAATTTCAAATTTGATATTCTTGTAATTGTCACAAAGTAGAAAAAAAAAGACCTTTCTAAGCTACTAATTGTGCCCCAGCACAGTTCAGTATGCCTGCCTACTGTTGAAGCAGATACACTATGAACTGCTATGTGTTAGATGGTAGATCAGACACAGTGAGATGGCTCAGTGGTCAAGAGCAAGTATTGCTCCTGCAGAGGACCTGAGTTTGGTTCCCAACACCCACATGGTGGCTCACAGCTGTCGAATTGCCGTTCCTGGGCATCTGACACCTCCTCTGTCCTCTGTGGGCTCCTGCTTACATGTGATGCACATGCATGCACCCTGGTGAACACACATAGCATAAAATTAAACAGGTATTTGAAACATTTCAAAGTGAAAGATTTTATATTGATATTGGGGAGGAAATAAGGTTGAAGATTTGAAAAGGATATGAAATAGAAGCAGTTTCAGGCTCTGCTGGGAATAGCATTGGATATGTGAGGAAGCACAGCGCAGCTCTTGCTGAGAAAGAGCGCGAAGCTGCAAGAGGGGAACAAATAGGAGCACAGATCACATGGTGACCAGCGGTGACTGCGTGTGCAGATTGCGTGTAGCATCTGACCTGAGCACTCTGCCTGCCGAGTCCGTCTGCTAAACACCTTGTGTGTCTAATCAAACATGGCTCATTTTGCTAATTGAATCCAGCACTTTGCAAAGTGAATAAGGGCTGGAGGGATGGCTCAGCAAATGGGAGTACTTACTGTTCTTGCAGAGAACCCAGGTCTGGTTCTCAGCGCCCACACCAGGCAGTTCACAGCCAACTGCTTGTAACTCCAGCTCCAAGAACCAGGTGTGTTGGTGTAGGCTTATGAAGTAAAGACATTGAGACTCTCAAGTACCAGAGGAGCTGGGGAATAAATGTTTTCTTTTGGTTACAGAAACAAGTCAACCAAGACTTCATTCAGGAGACTGGACTAGGTAGAGGAGTTCACAGAGAAGTCTGAACTGTGTGTTAGTGTGTTGAACCTCAAAGCTGGGATTTACGGAGAGAGCTGGGAACGTGGCTCTATCATCTGGGATTTCAGGAGAGAGCTGGGAAAGTGCCCTGTCATCTGGGTTTAAGGAGAGAGCTGTAAAACTGCTCTATCATCTGGCCCTGGTAGTCATACATAGGAGCTCGTGAAAAGACCTATGGAGCTGTCTTACCTGCCTTCCCCAACCTCCCAAGGATAATGAAATCCTTCATGGTTACCCTACCATGGCCAAGCCAACTCAGTCACATAGGAGACCCTGTGTCTCCATGCAGAAACAGACTGTTAGGCAGTGCAGTGTAAGCCTTACACAATCAAAATGAGCTAGGCATAAAGAGTGCAAAGCTTTCTTTTAAACCAAAATAAATTTGTGTGTGTGGGTTATGAATGTGGGTGCACATGTCTCAGCACACACATAGAGGTCAGAGGGCAACTTGGGGGAGTTGGTCCTCTCCTACCATGTGGGTCCTGGGGATCAAACTGTCAAGCTTGCCTGAAAGTGCCTTTCCCCAGAAAGTGATGGCTCCTGACTAAGTAAAATGCTATATCGGGAGAAAGCACACCGGCAAGGACCAGCAGGTGCTCGGGTGCGCATGGAAGGACAAGACGGTATGGTTTATTCAGAAAAAATGCAGAATTTCTATACGTTTGCAATGTAAATCAAGGGGTAGAAGATTAGAGTTAGATGGGAACCAAACAATGAAAGGCATAAAAGTATACCAAATGAAAGAGGAGCCATTGAAATGTCTGAGTCTGGAGTCAGTGTGGCTGGAGGGCTCGAGCAGTGCTTCTCAAACTTCCTAACTATGTGCCACCCTTTCATACAGTTCTTGTGGTGCCCCTCCCCCGCAACCATAGTTTCCATTGCTATTTCGTCACTGACTTTGCTACTATTATGAATTGTACTCATTGGATCTGATATGTAGGATGTCTGATGTACGACCCCTGTAAAACGGTTGTTCACCCCCAGGGAATCATGTCCCACAGTTTGAGAACCACTGGACTAGACGAAAACAAGTCAGATTGAGCTAGTGAACGGTAGCATTGTAAGGGCCTGGTTGTCAGGGTCCTGAGAGAAACCAGTGGATTTGAACTAGCTTTTATATGGGCTTAAAGGAGAGCCAAGGGGTCTGTGAAGCCTTTCTGACCACTGGCTTGGCTAACTATCAAATTGCTAATCAGAAAACAGAGCAAAGAGAATAATGCATAGAGAAAAGATACGTTGGGAGAAGTGACTTGAATTCAGAAAAGCCTCAGGTAAGCTGCACTGCTGTAAGATCTTGGTAATTCTTGTTTCTGCTTGCTTTCCAGTGTGATTTGGAAGGAATCATGCCAAGTGTTACTATCAGCTTGAATCTCCCCACCAATGGATCTCCACTTCAAGATATTATCGTTCATCCTTGTGTGACTTCTCTTGATTCAGCCATTCTGACCGCTAGTAGCCTTGATACAATGGATGATTCTGCATTTAGTGGGCCTTATAAATTCCCGTTCTCTCCGCCTTTAGAGTCATTCAGCTTATGCCACTACACTTCTCCGGTAAATCACCTTCGCACAGTTGAGACTGCTGACACTCTGATGAATGCTCCTGGATGGAAATTTCTCATGAGTTATTTACAGGACAGGAAGGAGTGGATACGATAGAAGTTCATGTCTTTGAATAGACTACCTCTTTCTTATCTCTCATGTCTATAACAGCATTAATTTTCACAGTCAGTGAAGTTTTTTCTTTTTAATCTCTAACTAAGAATCCCAGATCACAGAATGGACCCTGATGTGATTTAGTCATGGTTTTAAATACAAACACGAAATAACAGGCAGGCAGTCTCAGCTAAGTAAACATGTGGTATTCGTAGCTATTTATGCTCACTGTGTGTGTGCTGTGAGTCACCGTCCTAGGCACTTTGCGTCTTTTTCTCTAGTAATTCCAACAGACCTTAAAGTAGATGTTATTGTGTCCATTTTATAGATGGTGAGGGTCTTAGAGAACTTAAATGACCGATAAGTGGCAGAGCCTGGGTTTGAACTTAGGTCTTCCAAATTCCCAAAGTCTGACATGTTTTTACTGTGTTGTGTCAATTGTCTCTATTTCTAATTATCAGCCAGTTAGATTAGAAAACCCTGCTCCAGACAGATTGACTAGAAGAATCCTATAAAAGATTCTCATTATCATTCAAGACCTAGATGTAGACTACCTGAGACTTAGAAGCCAAGTTATGACAGTCTCCCTTGTCTGTCCTCTCCTTCCCAGTGTTCCCTGTCTTTTGGGTCTGTTCGCACATGCTCTGCCTACATAAAAGAGAGACTTCCCTGTGTCTTGCATAAATGTACCAATAAGCTGTCTTGCTCAAACCAGTGTACAGGCAGCTTCCTCTTCAGGCAGTCATTAATGCCCAGCTAAGCTATTGCTGAGCTGGGTGGGGGCTGGAAAGGAGAAACAATAGTCACAGGACAGGAAGGAAGCACTTGGAACTGTGGGCAGAGCAGTTAGTGTGTGTAGAGGACGACCGTGCTGAGGTCTGAGAACACGGAAGAGCAAGAATAGAAGCAAGTGTGTTTTGTAAGGTGCCTTTCTGGTCTGTTCAGAGAGGAAGGGAATCTGCTCTCAGCATGGATGTGGACCAAAGTTGCTGTTGTAGAAGCAGTGTAGAATAGCCCTCTAGAATTAAAGCCATTCCGGTGTATACAGATTTATAAAGTATATATTTTATGTATTTATAATATGTATGTATAGCTAATGAATAATATATTAATTACTACAGGGCTTTTTTTTCCTGTCACCATTTGTATCTTAGACTCATAGTATAGAATTATACTAAGAGTTGTGTCTGTTTTCAGGTTCCTGTCCCACCAATATTGGGTTCTTATCACATGAAAGAAGAAGAAGTACAACTGAAAATAACAGTTAATTTAAAACTTCATGAAAGTGTAAAAAATAATTTTGAAATCTGTGAGGCTCATATACCTTTCTACAACAGGTAGGGACAAGTAATATGACGCCGTGGTTGCTGTCTTCTGGTGTATTCCTGTCCCACAATAAAGTGTCTTCTTCATTTACCATATTTTTAAAAGCTAAGTAATTTTGTTTTTCAAATGAGTACAATTGTGAACTAAAATGTAATCATGGAAAGAATCTATTTACCTTTAAATGATGCCTCAATTTTTTCCATTTAAATTTGTAAATAAATTCCAGACTTAAGTCAGCGTAACTTCCTCAAGGACCGTTGTGCCACTGACCTGACTTCTGTCGTGTCTCTGGTCTATGTGAATCAGTCTTAACCACCAACGCCTGGTGACTTAGTCAGCTAGAGCGGAGGTCAGTTCTACTTTTAAAATGTGTTCAGCAGTGTAGCTCCTTACAAAGTGTACTTAATTAGTAAAATCATAATTTTAATCTACCAATGCATGTGATATGAATATAATCTATATGATTTTATAATTGTCTGTAGGAATATTAATGTGATATATAGTTACTGTAAATGTTTATGTGATTTCTGCTGTTCTCTAAGATCTTATTCATTTTTTGTTCTCTTCTGCAGTTGGAGTATAGATCTGCTTTTATGGTGTAAATAACAGTAACAAGATTTGAATCATCAACTTTAAAACTTATTTCTGAGGTTTATTTTTCTATGTTCTCTCTCTCTCTCTCTCTCTCTCTCTCTCTTTTAAAGAGGTCCGATTACCCATTTGGAATACAAAGTTAGTTTTGGTCAACTTGAAGTATATCGAGAAAAAAGTTTGCTGGTCTGGATTATTGGTGAGCAAGGTTTTTGTCTATTGATTTTTTTTTCCTCATTTGCTGTAGAATTTTGTTTTAGACTAACTGATTGATACGTTTGTGGTTTAGGTCAGAAGTTCCCCAAATCAATGGAAATTAGTCTTTCTGGAACTCTAACGTTTGGAGCCAAGGGCCACAACAAGCAGCCATTTGATCACATTTGCATTGGAAATACAGCACATGTAAAGGTGAATACATGAACCACCGCATCAGAAACCCTCATTTATTTCTCAGCTGCGTAACGTATGTATTGGAGCTTTAGTGTTTCCTAGCACTTTCTGTGTAGCTAAGCTCCTTCTTAGAAACATTTGTTGGGGGGAACAGGATCTCGGCCTTAGGCCAAACTGCTCTCCAAATCCCTGTGTAACACTAGTTGACTTTAAGCTTATGAGTCTGCTGCCTCAACCTCTCCTAAATGCTCGGATTACAAGCATGAGTCACCACGGCCAGTAGTAGTTGTTTTCCTGTTTCACCAAATGCTCAAATTTTAAGGAAAGTAGTTAAGAATAACCTAAACACTCCAATTTAAGCTACCCAATTCTTAGTTATCAAATTAGATTTATGTTCAACACTAAGCTGCAGCCCTTGATTTCTAGGGTGTTCTCAATCATGCGGATTAGTGACTGATCAATCCTAACTGCTTTAGGTGTCTCGAAGCAGACATGAGTCCTTCTGGCCAAAGCAAACTGAGGGCCATGTGAGCATGAAGGCTGACTGATATCTTCATCTGAGCAATGGGGTAAGGGCCAACATGGCCCAGCGGGTCAAAGCTTTAACCTAAGTTCAGTCTCTGGAATTCAGAGTGGAAAGAGCCAGCTCTCAAACATTGTCCTCTGCCATCTCCAATCCACACATGGCATGTAAGTGCCTGTGCTTACACACAACGCAGCACATAGTATGCATGCTGCATAAACATAGTATTTTTAAAATGACTTAAAGAGAGAAAGGAGGTGAACATGGGTTCAGAAGCCAGTGCTAGGAATGTGAGTTCTCCATAGGAAGGACAGGTAATTTAGGTTGGAATAGAGAGAGCCTGCATATCCTCAACCTTAGATAGATGTTTCAGCTTCTCAGAATGATTCGTTTATGAGTCAAGTAAAGTGCATGATGACAAAGACTGTATGACTCTTACTCATTCTCTGTTTGATCCTCAACATCTAGTCCAGTGCCTAGCACATAGATATTTGCTGAATATGCATGTACGTACATATGTACGTAGGTATGTATACCTGATGATAACAAAATACCTTAATGTAAATGTCCAACAGATAACTAAAACCCTAAAATTTGATTCTCATGAAGATCCACCATATAATAAGGATTTAGGAGTACCCATTGAAAAGAGAAAGTTGATACTAGGAAATGAATTAGATCATATAAATAAAAGAAAATAAGGAAAGATTCAGAAGAATCAGTAAGGGAAATTGAAGCAATAACCAGAAAGTTTACAGGGAAAGAGAATGCCATCAGAGAAATCGAAGATGAAAGATAAATAATTATCTATAAAATCAACAGTAGTAAGGGGTGGGAATACATTGCTAAGAATTTATATTTTTCTGTGTGGGCTTTGACTCCACCTACTATCCTGTTTTAAGGCTTATTATTTAAATTTTTGATTTTTTTTTTCAGAAAAAAAAATACAGAGTGTTACTACATTGTGTGTCCATCAAGGGCTGTTTTTAGAATTTTCCTACTCATTTCTTTCACTTAACCAGTTCCAGTCTGATCAAAAGCATATAATAGATATGGATTGGACCTCGTCTACATAGCTTCTAACCCTGAGAGTTAAAACACTAAAGCAAGCACAAACTCTTTGCTTTCTTATTATGTGAATTGCTGTAAGAAAGAGATTGTTAAAATTATTATACACACATGCACACACACAAAATGGGAGAAATATCAGAGAAGAGAAAAAAAAAAGTCTATGGCTTGGTATGTAATGCAGAGATGGAGGGCTTGCTGGGAATGTGCAAGGCCCTTGATTTAGTGTAGGGAGAGGTGTTGAAAAGATAGCAGGATCTTGGCAAGTGAGGTGTTTACCAACACAGATGAGAACCACAGCCCAAGGAGCCTAGAAAGGTGTTAACTCCTCATCTTTACAGCCCAGTGTGGTGCTAGCATTCACGGTGATAACCATACATCACGGATGGGATCCAAGAGCTGTGGCTTACATTTTAGAAAGTTTTCTAGGTGAGGGAAGGAATAATGTGATAACAGTTCTGTAAGAGTTAGATTTTGGTTATCGAGAAAAATAGGTAGAGTGTGCCATTTCCCCAAGCGTGAGATAAGCTAGTATCTCTTCTTGTCATGATTGCATTTGTGTGCTTAATTAAAAAACATACACATCCTACATATAATAAGAATGTGGTTGGGGCTGGAGAGATGGCTCAGTGATTAAGAGCACTGGCTGCTGCTGCTCTCCCAGAGGACTCAAGATTAGATTCCCAGAACCCATGTGGTGCCCTCTTTTGGCCTCTGAGGGCATCAGACACAGATATGCATGCCGGCAAAATGTCTGTACACGTAAAATTAATTGACTGAATAATGCGATCTGAATTTATCATAGATAGTCTGCTAGGGAGAAAAGACTATATATAGCTATATAAGAAGTACAGCAGCAGCAGGAGCAGTTCTAAGACTACAGCTCTCTCAGGCCGTGTAGCAGCAAAAGCAGTTCTGAGTTCAGATGCACGGTCTGCTGCACATACTGAGTACTGACTACTTCCCTGTGTGCACCAGGGCTCACATTAGTGGAGCACTGGAATGAGTTAAGCACTTAAAAAGAAAGGGAACTAGTACAAAGCGGGTATGCACACATTTATTATGTGTTTTCACAACTGTACTTTAGTACTTGGGTCTTAGCAAATAATCACCTCAATTGACTTTCTCTCTCATTTCCCTAGCTTCATTTTAGGATCTCAGATTATACACTCACTGGATGTTATGCCGATCAGCATTCAGTTCAAGTTTTTGCATCAGGAAAACCAAAAATAAGTGCATGTAAGTTGTGCAGATTCAAACTGAACAGGATTAAAATGGTGCTGTGTTGTCACTACCTACGGCAAAATTAAAATGCAATGAAACTTGGAGATTGGAAAATAATCCTATTTTATAAATATTTCTTGGGTTTGATCCCTTCCCACATAACCCTTGATGAACTTTATGTTGTCCTCTGACTTGTGTTTAAAAACAGTCTGGATGAGCAGGCCCAGTTGGTGTGGCTTTAGTATATAGCATGTATGTAGATTTGCTCTGGTTATATTAAACTCTCGTCTGACTCCAATGTATGTAACTTTGGAAAAGCTGCTGAACGTCTTAAGTTTTAGTATCCCCATTTATAAAGAGAAGTAAGAGGGAACTGTTCAGTGCTCTAAAGGCAGTGAGGCCTGGCAGAGGAGCCTAAAAACAAGGCACCCACTTTACTCAGAGCATCAGACAATATACACTCTGAGGGCTAAGAGGAGTCATCTAAGCAAAGTGTCTGATCACAAGGGCAAGCCACATAGTAGTATAATAGTAGTATATAAACAATAGCAATAACCAGTAATGAACACTCAAAGTTAAACCCACTCCTATCTGCTTCACCTGGGAGTGGCAGGAAAGCAGAAGCTAAGAACAAGTTCATCTCTGCTGTGGGAGTTCCTTCTGCTCCTTCAGCCAATCGCCGCTGAGTTACCAGCCCATTGGGGCGTGGTCTCTCCCTTTAAAAAAAGCAGCGGCTGTCCTCCACTTTCTCTTTGTCTTCCGGCTCCGTTTCCGGCCCCTGGACTCCTTTCCTGTTCGTGCGGAGGGGCTGTTGTCTGGGACGGTAATCTGTAAGTTTTTTCCCCTTTGAATAAATAACCATTATATTAATCATAATTCCAAACTGGTGTGGGATTGTCTGTGACTTACGCCTTCACATCTCTTTGAAGAAACTGAGGTTATAAGACTTTTATCTTGTTTTCTTGGTGTTTTCCTCACAAGCACTCAAAATCCCCCTCACACAACTCCATGCTTGGACTGCGCTCCACAGGAACGACCAGATGAATAAAGACACTGTTGTGAGGCCTCATGGCCTGAGTTCTAGCCGCGGGACCCCAGTGGGAGAAAGAGAACTGACTCCTCAAAGTTGTCTCGTGCGTGCATGCACACACACCACATGCTGTCCTGTGCGCGCGTGCACACGCACCACATGCTAGGTTTCTTTTAATGTAATAAGAAAGTTAATTAAGTAAAAATGACAGTATTTTATACCTTATAATTTTTGTGAATAGATTATATTTAAAATTTAATTATTCTTAGTAAATATCATAAGCATCATTTAGCACCTTCTCCATCCTACCAATGGACAAGCAATAGAAGGGTGATTTCCTGCCTTCATTGACTTTATTGGTTGTAAGATGCATATATATTTACGTATGTATACTTTATGTGAAAATATGTACATATTTTTTAGACTAATGTATCAGGAGGTGAAAAGCAAAACTTAAAATTATTTAATGCAGCGTAAATACATACAGGTGGTGTATGAAAGTAAACAAACGGGAGTGAGTAGGTAAAGGCAAGGTGAGAATGCCAGGTTATACATCTAGCTAGGAATGATCCAGTTTATAAAAGTTTCTATATTTAGGGCATTTGTTGAGTTTGTTTGGGCAGTACTTGGGATACAACTCAAGGCCTCGTGCATGTCTGGCAAGTGTTTTATCACCCTTATGCCCCTAGCTTCACACTTAAGTTCCTAAACATTGGAAGACTTTGTGCCTGAATGCATCAGAAGACCTAGGAAACTGTACTACAGAATCTAGGCAATTTCTGTAAATGGCAGTAACTCTGTATGCTGGAATCAGATGGGCCAGTATTTCTACCTCTGTGTTGTCTCTGTGTTTTCTCCTCTAGCAGTCTTCTGCTGCTTTTAGGTGGCCTGATGAGGGCGTGTCTATAGCGTATATGTTCTTTTATGAAAGTATAATATTAAACAGTCATCATTGTGTCTAAATAGAGATGCATATTTTTAATCTTCTTTGAGAAATATTATCTCTTTAGATAATAACTAAAATATGTTTAAGTATTTTATTAATATTAACTAAAAAAATTTTCAAAAAACATAATAAATAGAAGGTTTCTATAATATACCTGTTCTTTAGTATATCAGTAATATATCTATTTTGTATTTATTTATTGAGACAAGGTCTCAACTGAATAGCCCAGTGTGGCCTCCAGCTCACCATCTTCTTGCCTCAGATTCCCAAGTCCTAGGATTATAGATGCGTGCCACCAATGCACAGCTTCTATTTGCCCTTTCTATAAAGAATATTGAATATGAGAATTCATTTCAAATGAATTACTGTACCTAGCCCTTTATTCCTTCACACTTTCATTTGCCTTGTACTGAGTATACAGTGGCTCTGCAAATAGTTTAGTAAAAATGCTCATTTTAATAGTAGCGGTTTTTCACCAACTATGTTCCAGATATAATTTCTGTGTATTTTATGTACATTAACTCATTAAGCCTCACAGCACCTTATGTGCTGGTGTCCCTATGTTATGGCTGGGGACACTGATGGAACAGAGGCCATGTGAGGGTCATATAGCTAGTAAAGGACATGGCTGAGACTCAGACACAGGCAGTTGGCCCCTGGAGCCTGTTCTCTGAACAGTGTGCTGTGCCGCCTCCTAGGATCGCTACAGCGGGAGAGGGAAAGGTGGTGTGACTTTATGGAGTTCGTGTTGAAGGGCATGAAGAAAGGTAGAAAAGGCTGGGTTATAGTCAGTGATGCGTACAGGAAGAATGTGTGTGTTCCAAGTGGCATAATTTCATCAGTTTTATTACTTAGAAAACTTTGGTTCAAGGAGGTTACCATTTGTCCAGAGTGCAAGCTGTGAAAGCACATTGCTTAGACTGGAGCCAAACCAGAAGAAACAGGAAAGCAAGCCTCCCGAAAGTGCTGTGGGGAAGCTGGTGATGATTTGTGTCTCCGGCTCTTTGATTGCAGTAATGAATACCTCGACTAGAATTCAGAACTCGGTAGAGGGCATAGAAGGAAAACCAAGAAAAGTAATGGTTCATTAGAAAATCAACTAGAGGTGTAGGGAAAATAAACATTTGTATAAGTAAGAGATTTCATATAAGTTCTAGTATGGTTTGTCCAAATATTTATGAGTTCATTTTAATGGGATCTAAGTTGTAATAAAGCCTCAATAGGGTAAAATAAATAGAATACTTCAAAGTTATTACAATGACATGGCTATACTCCACAAATTCAAAAACTGATAGCTTCATTCTCTTACTGGGTTTTTGCGAAGATTAAACATCTTTATCATTTCTTTTCTTTTTCCCTTTGTAGATCGGAAACTGATTTCTTCTGACTATTACATCTGGAATTCTGAAGCTCCTGCTCCAGTAACATATGCGTCATTGTTGCCCTGATTTTCTCATATGGGATTTATTTATTTCTTCAAATGGGATTTATGTGATGTAACATTCTGTAGTAGAATCATAGTATTTTTTTATTTCTTACATGTATTCATATAACCTGTGACTGAAAATCACTGAATGATTTCTTTATCCAAACATTTATATCTGATGTTTATAGTCTGATACAATGTGAAAGAATATATTCAAGGCTAATGTCTTCCTTTCTTTGTTGTCCTCTGATTTCATGCCAGTATGACTCAGGACATATGAAAGTAGTGATTCATTTTGACTTAAGACGAGTCTTGGTCTCCATGCCATATGTTCTTCCTGGAGCTGTGGCAGGCCTCCGTGCTCGGTCCCCGCCAGGACAGGCCGAACTGTGGCCTCCTGTGGGACAGACTGCTGATCACTCAGAGTCCTTTCCTTGAGGAAGAGCTCAGCCTTCCGCTAGCTGTCCTGTGGGCTGGAGTGAGCACAAGGAAACTTTGTGCTTATCCAGACCTCAGCAGAGCAGCATGCTGTTGCAGAATAGCCATGATCTGGTTAAAATAATCACGGATCCTTCCTTTCAACGCGGCCGGTGGAGATACTGCTCAAATAGTGAGCTGCTCTTCATCACATCCCTCCTGCTGGCCAGTAGAGAACCTGCATAACTCTATTCAGTGTTGTTGAGCTACTCTTTCTGGGACAGGGTCACTGTGCAGCTGAGGATGACCCTGAATCCCTCTCAAGTGCTGGGATTTCAGTGGTGTATCACCATGCCCAGTTTGTTCTCCGCTTCTAGGGGACAAACTCAGCTTCATGCATGCCAGGCAAGCACCCTACCAGCTGAGCTGTGATGGTAACCCAATAACTCTTCTCAGGCTCCTTTAACTAGCTTAATAATCTGCTCAAATGATGTGTTTAGGGTACCAGGCCACTAGGCTGCAGTACTTCAGAAGTTTGGCACAGTGGTCTGTGATTATTCAGTGTCCTTGGACAGGTTTTAAAAATAATTTTAGCTATTATACTCTTTTTTTTTTAATTAAAGCCTGTTAACAAATGAATTCAGGTAAACTCAAAAGCCCTCTCATGGGTAAAAAGTCATTTACACTAATTTAATGTAGCATATTTTCCTTAAGTCTGTCCCTGTCATTTTCTCTACCATTTTCTTGATTCCTTCAAAACCATCTACCGTGCTCTTTATCCTCCACCCGTTTCTACCATCGCGTTCATATTCTGCTTCAGAGCCATGTGTTGTCGCCAAGTTGAATTTTAAGTGGCCACAAAAAAAAAGAAAGAAATCTAAAGATCCTGAAAACTTAACTGATGTCAACTGAAGCCTGACCTTCTCCTCAAAAAAATGAGTGACATACTAATATTTAATTGGATTTATCCTGAGTTCTATTTCTTTGTTGTCTTTTTTAAAAATGAGCCTTCTAAAAAGGGCTTAGAGAAAGCTGCTGATTCTTTGGAGGAGAGTTAAAACCATTGAAGAGGAAGTGCGCATAAACTAGGACTTGAATGCATTTTCAGTTAGGGTCATTCCTACTCATTATAAACCCTCTTTGCCTGCAAAGCTTATCCTAGCCTAAAGTTCTGTTTTCACAGTCATCCTAAGTAAGGAGAGGAGAGGAATTTCCTGACCAGGACGTTAACTTGCTGTCCTGACTCACCCAAAGGAAGTCAGCGGTGAAAGAAAACACAGTTCTGTAGTGGTTTCTATCTCTCCTCAACTCAAAGTGTAACATGGTACTTTAATTTATTAGTGTAGCTCTTTAGAAATTTTGACTGTACAAATGCTTAGCAGATTGTTCTAAGGTAGACAGGACACATTCATCTGGAAAGATTCAATATAAAATCCTTGAGGCAAACTCCCTTCGTAAACAAATTAGAAAAACCAGTGACTTCTAATTTGACATTTCTAGAAACCTAGGGAATCTAGGGGTTCCTAGAAAAGCATGGGGGTGACAGGGAAGCAAAGCCATCTGTTGCCGTTCCGTTCTGACAACACTCGGGAGCTAAAAGCCAGCCCACATTTCATCCCATTGAGATCAGCTGGGCACACTGATGCTTTTGATTTTGTCTAGAAACCTGTCACTTCAGGAGAATTTCTGAAGACAAAGCTTGTTCCCGGTTTGGTAGGTGACCTGTTTAATGTTTTCCCTGTGTCTGGGAGCTCCTTAGTGTAATTAGCGACCTTTGAACTCCACAGCTAATCCTGAGCTATTTTGTATTCCTTACTCATCTTTAAGGCTGGACCTTTCTTTTCTTCAGAGTCCACTGCCACAATTAAAGAAGAAACAGCTGCATTTCAAAGGGATTCCGATTCCAGAAGCTTAACCGTGATTGACATGTTCTTATTCTAAGCTATAAGACACTTTCAGAGTCCTTTCTTTCGTTAGAACTTCAATCATTTTCTAAAAAATTATCTCACTATGGATTTTATTCATTTTCTTTGATAGCTATTCTTTGCAGTTTTTTTTAACTTGAAAGGTGCTTTGCATTTGCAGTGAATATGAGCATCAACTTCCAGTGGCAGATTCGTGCGGGGTTAGACCTGCTCTAGATACCGTGCCGCTAAATTCCCTTTTAGTGCCAAAATATGATTATGAAATCTGATATCTATGTTGTAGTTATTCTTACTCAACCCAAAGGGTTAAAGAAAGTTTTAAATATCTTAGAATGAACTCTAGAAAGATGGGTCGTGATTTGGGTAAAACCTGTTATCCATTTATGTACTAAGCAATATTGTAACGCTCAGAAAGTTGTATTCGACAGTGGGGATGTTTTATACTGTTAAAATAATTGAACCTCTTAAATTGGAAGTAAACAAGCTCCTTGGGAATCTCAGGAGTCTTTATATTTTATTTAAACATTAACCCATCTCAAAATCTTTTTTTTTCACGCCATCTCAGTTTTTCTACTGTTGCAATATTGTGGCCTTAGATTTCATGTGCTGTGTTTAACAACAGACATTTTGTACATAGTATTCATTGCTGATTTTTTCCTGTTTGTTGTTAAAAAAAGAAAAAAGAAAAACAAAAAACCTTAAGAGGCCTTCATAGATTGCTCCAGTGCCTGGGAGGTATATAGGTGGAGTTCCTCCCCAGGGCTGCTGCCCTAGCGGAGGACTTGTTGCAGAGACAAAGGTCAAAAAAGGGATGTTAATAAACAGTCCTCAGGTTTAAGGGACTTTTTAGGATTACATCTTAAATTCCAACAAATCAGATTTAGGAGTTGCTGAAAGTGAAATTGATCCATCCCTCATGCAAACTTGGCAATACTTTCCTGTCCTGTTTCCTCGATAGTTAGCTGTATGATCAGATTAGAAACCATTGTACCCGACTGCTGAAAGGAAAGGGAGGCAAAAAGCTAAACATGGGATGAATTCTGAACCTTTTAACCTGGCTGAAGTATGTTGGTTGCTGTTATGCAAATACCTCCAATCCTCTGCTAAGTTCCGTGGAAATAATTTTCTTGAATGACAGGTTGATTCAGCAAGGATTCGGTCGGTGATTAATCCCCCTTTGATCTAGGGTATTCCACTTAACTACCAGTTACCTCGTTCTGACAAAGTGCAGCTGAGATTAGGGAGATCACTAGAACATGACCAGCCCATGCGTTTATTCTCCATAACCTTTCAAAGCAAGGGCCAAGAATGCAATTTATTCTCAGTTTTTGAAGATGCAAAGTCCTGTCTGCTAAGTTACAAAGTCAATTGAATACCAAATGAAGTTTATTTCTTATGTAAGAGAACCAACTTTCTTTTGCTCTGCGTAACAATGATATTAGGAATCACAGGCTTTGAAGACAGTAAAAACAAAGGCTACATTCCAAGTACAACTTTTTGGTTTCATGTGCAAGAGTGCGTGCTCACTGCCCTAGATAGGCCAAGAATCAAAGGCGTGGCAGCAGTTATGCTGAGAAAACTCAGTGTTTCATGGGATCACCCCAGCTAGTCCTGACACCACTGAAATATGCTCTGTTTACTACAGCAAGGGAGACAGGCAGCACACAATCTTGTTAGCTTTTCTCTTCTTGAGGAAGTGGAGCCTTATGTTCTCAGTAAAATAACTGCATTCATTTTCCCATAAATGGTAATATTGCCAAAATACATTGCCAAAGTAAGTCATTCTCTTAAGTGTCTTCTGCCTTTTGCTCTATCCTTTCTCCCATATATTTAAACTTTGAATAGTCTGTGAAGTTCTAAGAAAAAGAATTCAGATGTGTTTCGTGCTGTTTTCAAAGAATTCACTTTTTAAAAACTAGTATTAGTATTAGTATTTTTCCAGATGTCAAATTATTCCTTAAATATCCTTCAAACCCTATAAAATATATAGATACGTAATATATACACAATAACTATAACAAATTTTGTTTTTGATTATTGTTATTATTAATGATTACTTTATAAATAAGACAAAACTTTTGATTGTTATATAATTGCTTATTATCCTGGTAGTAATCTACAACAAAAGCTACTGTTTAAATAATTTTGTATGCTTTTTTATTCAAACCTTTGTACTTAATTTATAAATCAAAACAACTCAAATGCATACATAAATTTGTGACACACTGGCCTCCTGTAATTCTAAATTTTATCATCGGTTTTCAACTGCTTTGGGAGATAAGAAAAACAGTGTAAAGCTGGTGTTAAAGGGTGAGTTTCCACGGTTACGCCACTAAGAAACTCGCGTGCTCAGTAGTTAACAGCTGCGTGTAGTAAATGGGGAGGTAGCAAAGTATTCACTGTCGTGTAAAATACGCCACACAGAATATATGCATACACAACATAGGCGTTGGCGCTTCTGCAGTGGGTTCCGTGTCCACGTAGACATGTCCCCGTTGTCTCGGGAAGAATATTGTGACGTCGTGTATTCAGATATCTACAGACAACATTAGTTCACAATATTGGAAAGATTTGTTAAAATGAACATTACGAAGGGTAATGTTTTACCCATGAGATTTGTCTTAGAAAGCAGTTAAGAACCTTAAAGAACTGGCTTTCCGTTTTCTTCACCGCCTGTTTTACACGTGTAACACGGCCTAGCATAGGTAGCCGGGACCAGCCGCCCTGTAAGCATGATACTCTGGGGTCTAGGTTTTTCCTAATTCCTGCCTGGATACTATGTGTGACTGGCAGCCGTGTGTGTTAGTGTCTGATGATCTAGCCCTAACAGAACGGCCGAATGCCCAGGAATGGAAAGATGGATTTCCTATGGGAGCTAAAACTTTGCAAACTGTGTGTCTCCTTTAAATGCCCTTTTTAGATGGTAGTTTCTGTTTAAAAAATCATTTTTGATAAATACTAGTAATGATAATTTTAAAAATTGTCAATCCGCCTTAAATTTTTGTTTTTTACCTTTTCTTCAAGGGACTGAGTGCCCTCTGCAGGTTATTAGGAGATATTTAAAGACTAGAACTTAGAACTGTGGATTTTCCCTGTTCAAAAAGTATCAACTGCTTACTTCAAATCTCCAAAAAAAAAAAAAAAAAAAAAGCAATCCCATTTGTTTCATTAAGAGTTCATTGTCAGTGATGGAATTGGGGATTTCCTTCCTCTGCTAGTTTTAATCTTGAGTTTAGTACAGGAAATGTCATATCAGTGAAATTTCCAGAATTTTATCCAAGGCTCTTCAGTTATTGAACCTACAGTAGCACGCATTCCCTCACTGAAAGAAAATATGGAGAGTATTTAAATATATTTAAATTTATTTAAAACGTTGAGACTAGCTTCATTTTTCTATTTATCTTTTTTAAAAAAAACTATACATTTGAAATAGCAAGCCCTGCTTTTTCAGTTGGTGTCAAGTAAAATTACATGAATTCTAAAATTTACAACTTTTAAATAATAAAGTTAAATAATTACACGAATGAAAAGATTAAAATTCCACAAGTAATCTGGTGATGTTTGTGTTAAGGGGTCAAGTGTTTAAAAAGGCCCATTAGACCTTGCTTTGGTATTGTTACTGTATAGGTCTCCAAATAATGAGAGTATTTTCAGGCGAAGGCAACACCTTCCCCTCTTAGGTGTAGAATATATGTACCCCATGCGGAATACATAAGTCCCTCGCTTTAGTGTACTTTCTTTTGGGCATAGCAGATTCGTCTCTGAGATCTCGTTCATCTGTGACGCTTTAGAGCTGCGTGCCACTGGCACGTCGGGTTCAGCTAACTTAGCGAGGCTGCTGAGGAAGCTAAATATGAGAACAAGAGACGTGATTTGATCAGATTCATAGAAACAGACTTCTTTTTGCAAGCAGTGTAATGATTCTGATCGTCAACCTTGAAAAGCAAATTAGAACAGGCAGATGACGATTGAAAATTCTTCCAGTGCTCTGCTGTTGCTACTCTGCCGGCCACGGCTCAGCCAGAGGCCAGGGGAGCACACACTGCTGGGGCTTGACAAAGGAAACATCATTAAAGTGAATGTTTACATTGTGTTTATTGAAGTGTTCAAAGTATATGTGTTGCCTCTTCAAGCAGCCTGCTGCTCTTCAGAGGATTAAAACTGCGGCGCTGATAGTCAAAAGCAGTCACTTAGACATTATACAGACAGATGGCTTTTAAACAGACTGGTGCTGCTGCTCGTATTCCTTTCCCATTCAGGGGGAGAGACCCTCGTTTACTCATACAAATTCTTATTTCCAAGTCCACTATATGACTTTCCTACCAGAAACGATTATGCTTAAGTAATAATTTTACTTCTTAATACACCAAAAATAACATGAAAGCGATTATGAAATTACTGGCATGGCTGTCCAGTTGAGTGCTAGTGTGCAGTGGCCAGCCACTTCCAGATTAGTGTGGGGACTTCTGGGAGATACGTTTCTCTTGAGCTCCCTCATACAAATTAAATTGAAAATGGAAGAGTCACTGCATAGCAAACATGCCAACCTCACATTTGAAAGTTTAATAAATAGAATCCCCAGAACACTAGTATTTGTACCAGTAAAACGAGAAAGTTGACAAAAATATAGAAAGCTCAGCTTTAATCTTTTGTTTGGTTTTTGTTTTTGTTTTTTTGAGACAGGGTTTTTCTGTCTCAGCCAGGGCTGTTCTGGAACTCTCTGTAGACCAGCCTGCCTCAGACTCAGAGATCCACCTGCCTCTGCCTCCCCTAGGGCTGGGATTAAAGGTGAGCGCCACCACCGCCCGCCATTACTCTTCTTTCTAATATGAGCAATCACTTTCTCTATGGTAACAATAGTACAGTGTTTAATAAGGACCAAAGGGACTGGGGTCTGAGGTGGCTCAGTCAGTAAACAGTCTGTGCTGCATAGGCTTGAGCAGAGTCAGGTCTCCAGGACCCACCTGTCAGGCAAGATGGGACGGCTTGTGCTTGGAATCCCAGAGGCAGAGGCGGGCAGGTCCCCGGGGCACCTTAGCCAGAGCAGCGACTCTGACACCCAGTGAAAGGCCGGGGCTCAGAAGACAAGGCAGACTGCTTCTGAGGAGCAACACCTAAAGCTGACCCCCGGCCTCCACGTGTGTGGTCACAGCCGCTTGCACACGTGAATATGCACGTGTGTGTGCATGCATACACACACACATTAAAGTACTATAATCTGCCTTCCTTGGGAGGTGTAGATTGAAAGTTCATTATATAATCCCTCATAAATTGGGAAAATTATGAAGGGCTGTTTTCTTAGATTCACTATCAAGACAAGTTATTAATATTTTATTTCATTCACTATTTCTGTAACACATGGACCATCCTGCATTTATTATTTCATAATTCAGAATCAGTAAAAATCCTTTTTTTTGTAATGAGAAAATTTTATGAATCTAAAATCAAACAGGTTCCCGACCTCTGGTGTGGCTTTTGCAAATCAGTAACCAGAGGAGGGTAGTGATGTTTGTAGCCTTTTAAACTAGTGTATGATATGACAAAAGGGCTTCTTGTTCTTGTGTGTTGTGTCCTGAGAACTAAACCCCAGGGTTAAACATGCACTCCACCACTGAGCTACATTCTCAGCCCCAAGGAATTCAACTAATGTGACTGTTCTGGCCATAAGCCCCAAATGCATCTTCCCTTACACACACTAAAATAGCACACACTACTCATTGTATTTAACACTGAGACCTAAACATGAGCTAGATGCATCAGAATGAAAAGATGCTGAGCAATCGGAATCAAAACT